GGTCCTTGTGGTTGTGCCAGGCTCCAAGAGTGGTTTCATGCACTCAGTGTGAAGCGGACTACGGTCCAGCCACCGCTTTGCGTGCGACTGATTCCCAAATACAGCGTGCTTGTATTTGCCTGTGAAGGAGAGTGGGCCGGCTCGGTTGATGAAACGTGGCTCTCATCCACATGTCTTCCGGTCTTATTCCTTCGGGTTTACACTGGATATGGGGTGTGGTTGGAGCTGTGGGTGGTGCAGCGCAAGCTACCCATGGTCCCTCGGTAGGCGCAGGCGTCCTGTGGCTGACCACAGTGACAGGCAAATCAGAAACTGGATGCCGCCAACCAACCATATGGCTATACTACCGATATTTTAAGTGATACGGCTGAACCCTTTGATTTGGATTGTATTTGCATTTGCCATCCTGTGGGTGTAGTAAAGCTACACATTTTTGGTTTCAGAAGGTTTTGAATACAAATCGGTTCTGTAGATTTTTATTGTAGCAACATTACGCTCTTGACGCAAGAGGTTCTCCACGCCAGGTGAATCGGTACGTAATTGGCTTTTTCCAATCATACACTATTAAACGTCGTGTTCACTCGAAGGAAACTAGACCATGATAACTTTTGTCAATCGGTTAGAGGACAGCCACATAGGAGAAATCTAAGTGTGTCGGTGAGAGTAGAAGGTTGAAGATATGTGCAGACACCTGGATATATTGTAGTAGGCACTGCGACATGCTGAAGCAAAAGAAAAACAAGTACAGTATCGGGAAAAAGAACACCAGAGGAATCCGGAGAGTTTGAATTGAGAGATACTTCCCGGAGAAAATATCAGAAAAAATAGTAACGAGCAAGCTTGTTTTCAGGGTTTCATCATCAGGCTAATGTGACCACAAAAAGGCAGGCTTGTATGGACACAAGAAGTTTAAACGCGTTGAGTCACTGAAGCAGTTACCTAATCGTGATTGACTACGTGATTGGTCTGGTTGATGTGAAGTCGGGTGGAGTGGCATGACCGTCATCGTTGGTCATGCAGGCCTGTGGCCAAAGTAATTTGAGAATTTAGACGAATTTTTTCTGTGCTCAGAAGCCCGGGTTATGGGGCCGAATTGCGATCGCCTTTGTTGTCGACAGCATGCGACATCTGACCGCTCGTGTGTAACCTCCGGGTACAGAGTAGACTGGTATGAATGCGTCATGCGAATTGATTTGGTGATCGGAGTATACTAGATGCGACAACACTGCATTCACAACATTCGACCTTAAGTGCTGTAGAGTCAGGCTGGGCAATTCTCTTGAGGTCTAACGGACAGTTGCCTGATCGTTTTCCTAGTATACCTTGCTCGACACGAGCAAGATACACACTGGAGGAAATCTGTGACCGAGATATCCTATCCTTGAGTTGCTCGCGCAAAAGCAGTGTTGAGGTGAGGCTTCCACGAAGGTCGGCAGCAAAATATGTTTGCTGTGTTGTTATGGAAAGCAGACGGGTGGTCCGTTTTGCTATCGCGTCACGCGTAAACGATAACGATAAGTAAAGTAGCCGCTTCTTCGCGAAAACGTGTCTTGACTTTAGCATGTGCCTCTGGCTGAATTTTTCGGGGTATCCACTACGCTCGAACACACAATGTATAAAGCTTAGTTTATCTGAAAGCGTATCCTCTGTACATATCCTCCTCGCTGTCTCCGCTAGGCAACGGACGAGATTTCGTTTCTGACTTATCGGAACAAAACTAGCGAAGTGGATTTACAGACCATTACAAGTTTCCTATCTTGGCACCCTCTTCGGCATTGACCGATCTGATACCCTATTGATTTAGACATCTAAAAATGCCGAACAGTCGTTACGTTCTAACTCGATAGTAAAGGTTGAATTTTGTAGAAAGTAGAAGTCACGATTGAAATTCACGCACAATAATATGCCTCGACGGGGAGGCATATTATTGTGCGTGAATTTTAATCGTGACTTCTACTTTCCACAAACTTTACCCTACTCACAAACTTCCAACATTAAAGGTTGAATTATTATGTGCAGAGTTGAAGTGGGCCAATCGACCATCGACGCACACTCAGTGACTCACCGCGTCTGAACATCTTGTGTCCGGTTCAGTCTGTTTGTTGTGGTTGTAGTAGTCTGATGAGGAAATCTTGAAAACAAGCTTGTTCATTACGTTCTGTTTCTGAATTCGGGGAGGTTGCAACGGAGCGAACCCCAATCAATAGCAAAAGTATTAAAGTTTCATATTATCAGACAGTCCCTACCTCCACCGGGCATCTTTATCGAGTTCAGCAGGCAAAATCTGGACCACATCGCTCGCAGCATTCGATTAATGTACTGCAGCTTCCATAGACCTAACACAGCCCGCCTGCGACTAAGGAGGAACCATGGACGGCTTGCGCTAGACCACCAACACGCCCCATATCTGGTGAAAACCTAAAGGAATAAAACCTGGAGGCATGTGGATAGGAGTCATGATTAATCAAAGGAGTCGGTTCACAATCCTTCAACATACATAGCAGCAGCATTCCTGCCCAACTGGGGAATCAAGTGTACGAAACGAACACAAGGCGGTGGCTGGCCGTAGCCCCATAGGAACAAGCCATGAGACCTGCACCTACTATGAACCCGACGCCACAAAAGCTAAGAAGCAACATCCTTGTCACAGACTGCTTCCACTGTCTTGAAGTCCTTTTTCCAGGTACAGAATCACGCCACCGCCATACGTTGCATCAGAGCGATTATCCCCAGAGAAGTGATACCACGGAATATGAACCGCTGAATATTGGATGCTCGAAAATAACAAGGTACCTGTGAAAGCCATAGGATTGGGATGATTCTCCGACGCAATGAATTGAAGTTTTTCTAGTCCGTTTCTTATGCTACGCGCATTAGCAGATATTACGCGTAGCCCATTCTTTAATCCTGCTGCTTTCTTTATTGCGCAAAAATCCTCAATGTGGGGATTGAATTCACCTTTGATCGGAGTCTCCGTAGCTCAACGGTACTCTTTATAAGGACGCAGTACATGGAACGATTCTCCCTTGAGACGTGATGTCCGTCTGAGAATGCGACGGCATTAGTCTTCCTTCTGGTAAATAAGTTTGAGGCGAATGTTAGAACAGTCTTCTTGCTTCCTGACTAGACGAAAAGCAGGAACAAGATGGATCCTCATCTCGCCTTCAGCAAAGAGCTGGGTCATTCGTTCTAGAAACCCCTAGTCGTCCAGTGTCCTTGTTGAACTAAGGAGCGTTCATAGTGATGAGGCATTGATTACGAGTTTTGTTTTCACGAACCGCAGGTTTAGTATGCGTGCTGTTCTTAATCAACTTTACCAGTTGGTAATTTGTCGACAACTTGCTTGAGTTTGGAATCAAGATGGGTTGGCTTTAGTTGGAGATCAGCAACGCTCCTGACTCTTTTTCCCCAAACAAATGCGCTTCGGTGGGGGCTACGCCATCGTTCATAACTGCTGTATACTTCTTGAATCTAAGATCGGTGCTGTTCTCAGGTAGGGCTAGCGGCTCGAAAACGGTGCAGATAAGACGTGGCTTCGCTTACCATCAGGACACGATAATAAAACGAAAAGTATTTCGTTGAACTCACTAAAGCGTTAGCACTGAGACATATGTACGAAAAGCCGAGATATTCACGTGATAATAAGCATATACCCACTTAGTTATCGTGGATTTTTGATTGTGAGCGGTCACGAAGAAAGTGATAACCTCTAAGATGGAGCGCTGGAGATATTCGCAAAGTCCCGGCGTGAAGTCGCAGCAAATAATATGCAGTCACTCATCACAGAACGTGGATTGCACAGCTTTTGAGCGTGAAATGACGCTTTTATCGCTACGTACTAAGCTAAATTCCGCAGATTCTAACTGAAAATAGCATGTAAATGTTGATGCACAAAGTTCCCATAGAAACTACTTAACGGATTGTTTCAAAAAATAAAGTGCTCCACTAAACAAGCACGTCAAGCAGTGATAACGTTGATCTGTAGCATTGGATCAAGGTAGTAGTTTAGTCGCACGACGATTCCCTCATTCGGTCTACTTGATTTCACCCAAGCAATCCTCGAATTCGAGTTGTGCTCGCCTTTTCCTGCGTTGTTGTCAATTCCAGTAGGATCCCACAGCTAGTCTGGTGTATCAGTGTTGTCATAAGCACAGTTTAGACATCCGACGATTCTTATTCACCGGCGATTCTTATACACCAGCATAGTTGTGGTGAGTGTTGCCTTCGCATTCCGCTATTTAGGTTATCCTCAGGTAGTCACCACGCTCGCAATCAGCAGTCAAGTAGAAGCGAAAAAGCAGTCTGCTATGTACTGACGGTTGAATTGCGAAAATAACGCAATTAGTCGGAACCGGCCCAAACAGACTCTAAAGACTGGATGAGCAACCTAAAGCGTCGACCGTAGCGACATAACTAAAATCCCGGTGCTTAATGAGTGAATGACAATTTAACCCATCTGATACGAGAACCGCAATCGACCGAATAATCCTAAACCTACCGCAAGATTTTGTTGAGAAATTTCGAGAGGGATGACAGTAAGGGTGTGAAACTGTGTAGCCTTGTCAAGTGATAGAGAATACCGTGCCGGGCTTCTGAATAAAAGAAAATGATGTGTAAGTGAATTACAACTGCCACGGGGTGCAATGTGGATGGTAAAATTCGTTTATATCAACGAACTAGAGTAGATGGATTAAAATATCACACAAAAACGCGAGGAAGTTGCTCAGGTGAGTTTGCATGACCAAAAGAGTACGTCAATCCCCTCCGGCTCATTAATCACACCCAAGCATCGGCGACTGTGAATACTGGTTTTGTTGAGATGTTCCACCGTCGCAAGACCGGTAACAGGCGAAACTCTGCACATTAGTTAAGCTGGAACGCCGATCAGTAAACGCGTGCATTCAGGCCCCCAAAACGGTGTTACCGAAATAAAGAAGCTGAAATGGGCTTAAGAGCGAGAGGTTTAGTCAAATGTAAACGGATTAAATGTAACTCCGCTGAAAAAGATAGGATGAAATATCAAATATCGAAACATAAAGAGAAAATAAAGTGGCGACATACAGCAAAAGTCTATCGCATAATTGGGCTGAAAATCCAAAGTAAGCATAACAGCGAGCATCGGAAGAATATAGTAGACTGAAATGCGAGTGTCATGTCTCTCATGTTCCTCACTCTGACCCATGGAGGGATTTTGTGGTGAACTTTGCAGGGACGGAGATACTCCAACACGTTTGACCTGTAGCCACACACGTATAAGGCCGGAAAACACCATGGCACTAAGGAGCGATGAGACTGCGGACACGGCATGATCTGGTACCCACCTTGATAGCTGAAGTTCGAACCATTGGGACTGTAATCCAAGAACTGCCGTGATACTGGTCATGATAAGCAAACAAACAGCCGAGTACATATGGGACAAGCGAGCTTTGCAAAATGAGAGCCAGCGGCGAATAGGCCACAGGCTCCAATCTAACCAAAATCCGGCAAGTATTTGGGTTGTTGCAAAAAGGACAGAAAGGAGACCGCAACATCCATGCCAGGTGGTAAAATGTGGTTTACCGCCTTGAATCTTGTTCAAATAAACCGCGGCAACAGCAGTGTAGAGAAGCACAATCGAGATGCTCTGGACAATCCAATGCCATTTTGTCTGAAACAACGATAACAATCGCAACGTTATCGAAACGAAAACAATATGAATATGTAGACTAGAGCAAACGCGTAACTCAACTTACCCGCATGTACGTAGAACGCATATTAAAAAATGGAACACGCTTATCCATTAAACGGACACCCAGGGGCATTATAATTAGGACACTTACAGAAGCAAGGAGTGGGTGAATGGTGAAAAAGTTTTTCGGTGGAGAAGAGAACAAGACAACAAAAGCCGTTGCGGAGAGTGAAATAACGTCGAGTAGCCACAGCACATATTCGTGAATCATGGCTGGAAAAAATGGGTATTATGTAAAGTTCAGTGAGAGCAACGAGGACACACATGAAACCCGAGATAAAAAAGACAGTGTTTAGCTTTAAATCTGTCCATTTGTATTCTATGGTTAAGTTTATAAAGAAAAGAAAATAGTGCAACTAACAGATATTACTTCAAGATATTACAGCTATTACTTCAAGTCACCCAGAGTAGCGTATTTGACAAGGAGGATATTCAAACTGACGTGTTGTTTTAAATCGCATATTCAGGATGGTCAGCATTGGGATTACTTACCAAGCAACTGTACTCGGCTACAGTGAGGCAGTAAAAGTCATCACCAATACGCCGTCACACGGTATCGACGCTTCGGTGTCACACGACCAATCACTGGTCGCGCGTTGGCTGATTGCGTCAGGAGATCGCTAGTATCTATGCGGGTCCGCACCGTTGACTTCCGGATTACAAGGCAAGCGCGCAATTCTTTCGGCCGCCGGCCGACACTTGGAATAACAGCGTTAGCTGTCAATTATAAACAAGGTGAACGAGTCAAATATTAAATGGAATCACCTACGATGTGCAATAAAGAAGACCACGATATCAACTTGTTCATCCAGATTGCGCCATATGGAGAGTCAGCATGCTGCTTACATTCTCGTTAGTTTGACTGCGGCACTAAAGTAGAGTATCCGGCAAAACACTGAGATGACATATGACAATGATTGATGGTGGATGGTGGTGGTGGATGGTGAAGGCAAACAAAATGCAGGTAATTAATACTATTGTGATTAGCTGAACACGGCTCCAAGTCAGTCATAGCTCAGGTGGTGAAACAGCAGCACGAGAACTAAGAAACGGTTCAGTTTCAGGATTGTCGAAAAATAGGTTGTGCTATAATTTTAGGAAATAGCGTAGATCGCCTCCTGTCTCTGTTCTTTCTTATTCATCTGGGCATTAATTGAATGACGAATTCTAGCTCTCTAACTTTGAATAGATCTTGATTCAAATGCATTCGCCAAAATGCAACACGGGATCATCGTTGCTGAATGACGGTAGAGTTTTATATACATGCACCATCGACATCCGTCGTGACGCAACTGGAAAGTAGGTCGAGTCCAACAGCTTACGTCCGTTTCTCCCATCCACTGAGGCATACCAATTTGTGCCCTAAAGTCGTTTTGATCTCTACTGATAGCACGATGTTCAATGGTTAGTATAAACAGTCGTAGAGTTATTCAGTGTTCTGACACTACGCGTGTAACATTTTGTGAGCCTCAACGCATTCCCACAGTGTTGCACTCAGGCTTTCGAGTTAGATGCTTTGGTTGAGGACGCTGATCGTTTCCCCACTTAGAATCTGGGGATCTGGCAGCATCCCCACCCACGTTCAATTTGCTTTTCAAATTTCAGCCATGTCGGATACATATATATATATATATATATATATATATATATATATATATATATATATATATATATATATATATATATTCTATATCAGCTGTGACGCAGTTCCAGTAGGGCTGCTGCCGTAAAGAGCAATGTAGATAAGCAAAAAAAGCTCCTAGTGAAACCATTCCTTCTCATGTGTTTAGCTTACACAAGCTTGCCTTGTAATCTGACGGGGCGGGTTCGAGCCTGTGTAGAGATAGGGCGACCCTCGCAGTACCCTTAGCCAACGTGCAACTGGTGGTTGTTGTGTGGCAGCGAAGCGTCGGTACTGCGTACCAGCGTACTGTTGATGCCTTTTTCTCGATTTGCATCAATAGCCACAATACTACGGAGGTTTTACGAGCTCCACTCGTGAGACCGCAGTGCCAATTATTCTCCCACCAGCAGATCAGGCTGCCAAGTTTCCTTGGCAGCGCTCAACACTAGTGTGCAAAAACAGAGAAGTCAACCGGCTGCATCTGGTCATGCATTGAATACCACTGACGTTGAAGCGTTCCATGACCTTCTCGTGAGTATGAAAAACACTGTACCTACCTTATCCTTTCAAACAGCAGTTCGTGAAAAGAAATGTAATCCAAAAACCCAAGTGTGTTTGATCCAGTTAACAAAGGTCAGCGTTGCCTGGATAACAATGAATGGAGTGGATGGGATAGAAGGTAAATAGGATACAAAAAAGCGTGTTGGGCAAAGTGGGGACATTACCCGTGGGACTATTGACTGCGACATGTAACGACTGAACACAGAAAGAACACTGATTCAGTAACTGAGTACCCAGCCAACTGTGTGGCGAAGTACTGAAACAGGAACCACAAAGACACGTCTCAGCCTGAACAAATTCCTGGTAAATTTCTACACACATTTGCACTACGTCATTTACTTGTTTCTTCCAATTAGATGAGATGAAAGCACATAAAGCACCAACGGATATGCGGAGGAAGATATGATCAAAGCAAACAGTTAACTGCGACGCAGAGAAGTTTCATTTCTAACATCAACTGGTGGACTTGAGTAATGATCACTAGGCGCATCCACAAGTGTGGACAATACTCCGCAAGCAACAGAGAAGAAAAGAAAACCAGTTTCTTACTTATTAAGGGGAAGTACCAGTGCATCTGATCCGCACAGTAACGTCGGTTCAATTGCAGCATTGCGCACCTTTGATTGACGGCAGACTAACATCTCATCATCTGGTAAGATGAGACTCTGAAATTAAAGATAAGATTTGATTTTCGGGTTTTGGAGCATCCGCCGTGTGTCCTGGACACGCAATGGCAATTGTGGCCTGGGTTGACTTTAAAGCAAGTCTCTGATAATACGGTCACTGGGACCGTCATCAAACCATAACCTCAGTAAGTTGATCACCAGAGGTAAAACAGCTATCAAGATGAGTGTGCATATTGAACACTTCCAGCAACTGGTCGGACAGGCAGAACCGGCGACATGTTAACCAAGTCCTGCAGCAGCATTAAGCACAATAAAAGTAGGAAGAATGTAGCACACTGCGTCAGGAGCGCTTGTAAAGTCGATAAGGCGACTACAGGAAAAGTTGACCGAGTACACCATATCTGTCAGGTCTTTAGTCGTTAAAACTTCCACATAAGGGGACGCAGACAAGGTGTTCAGGCAAGGGCACTTCGACCATAAAAGTAAAGAGAAAACAGCATAGCACAATGTGAAGAACTCCACTTATCTATGGGAAATCAGGAGACAACTTCCATAGACCTAGACTACGTGGGGGCTTGGAAACAGAAAAGTCCCCTTAGCATGAACTGAGGAAAGCCTACAAATAAACAAAAACCAGTGTTCAATCAAGAGCTTGTAGTAGCAGCTTCCAAATCAGATCAAAAAACACTACTCATGAGTATATTACAATATTCGCCGTGGCCGTTTCTAGATGCTATGTCCTACATATCTACCGGCAGTGGAAATCGTCTTCCGGGGCCAACCCTGTGCTGTGCAACATCCGCAACCTGCACGGCAGTGAAGAATAAGACGTGTTATATCGCACTTATGTTATGAATCATGACGGCCCATCGCTGTCCCCCATGGCGCAGTGGCATAAGCTGCAGAGTGGCGGCGTAAGCCGTTGGTGGTCATGAGTTCCAATCTTGATGGATCCGATGAATGCGCACTACTGACAGTGCAGAGCAGGTCGAAAGTGCAGTCTAGTGCTTTACCGGACATGTAGAGAAAGCTGCTGCGATTAGCTCACCATTAATGGCATCAAGTATCCCCCGCTCATTAATACATGAAAACCAGTATGTTGGGTAGTCTGCAGGCGTGCCATTGTTTCAGCACTTGACGAGGTGTGGTTTGGTGATCAATCCTCGAGTAGCACAGAAACAAGCGACGTAAATGTAGCTGTTCTTACGACAATAAGCGAGTTGATGTAGAATAATCCAGGTGAGAAATTTGGAGATAGTGACAATACCTCGATGACTGACGAGCGAGACACTAGTTTTAAGGATGGGAGGTGTCTTTACAGTACATAATGCGATCAGACGAGCCCCGAGTCTCCCAGACCGATCAGTGGCGATGAAGATCGGCAGGTCCAGGCGCCTAATTCTGTTTCTAAGGAGCGAATTCATGCCGAAGTGGGGGCAACATCATTGTTGCGGTCCGGTTCAGGCGACTTGGAAAATGATAGTGTCAGTGTCTGCAAGACTACACTTCAAATGTCCAGACAAAAACTTAGTCGATGTGCCTGAAGATGGAGTAATTGCCCATTTGTCTCAGATATTATCTCATTAATAGTGTTTACTCAAACTGCTGCCATGGAGGACCAGGCGCAATAAACTGCCTTTCCTAAGCTAACCTTTTTTCATTTAACTAGCCGTCGATAACAACCAACACTCCTGACCAATAACAAGGCCCCTGGCAAGACCTCACTTCAGTGTCACGGATGCTCTGAAGCTGAATACCCTACGAAATCGGCTTAGGTGAATCGGATAAACCAACCGACACTTGACAAACCCATATGCAATTAAGATGTCTCAGTGATAAGACAAACAACTTCAGAAACATAGATGACATGGTTGACTGCATCCGGTTCCGGATTTGCCTGTAACTGCGGCATCCATAGGACGACTGCGTCTACAGAGGGACCATGGGTGGCTTGCGTTGCACCACCCACAGCTCCATCCACAAGCCCCGTCTCCAGTGCAAACCCGAAGGAATAAGACCAGGGAGCATGTGGATGGGAGCCACGTTTCATCAACCGAGCCGACCAACACGTCTCTACAGGCAAACACAAGCTCACGGTATTTGCGGAATAAAGCGCACACGAGGCGGTGGCTGGGCCGTAATAAGCTCCACACTAGATAGACGACATACTTAGTTGGCAGCATCCAGTTCCGGGGTCTCCACGGGGACAGCCACACGACGCCCGCATCTACAGAGGGACGACGGATGGCAAAAGCAAGCACGCTGTATTTGGGGAATCAAGCGCACACGAGGCAGTGGTTGGGCCGTAGTCCGTACAAAGCTGAGTGCATGAAACCCCTCTTCGAGTCTAGCACGGCCACGAGGACCGTGCATTCCGTCCCCTCCAGCAAAGACCAACCCTCTCCTAAAGTCAGTACAGACGAGGTGGTGGGTAATAGACAGGTAAGCAATTTGTCAACATGCACATCAAGCCCAGTCACACGGGGAGGTCGAACAACAGTCAAGCACTTGAAATGAAAATAAAAAATAATATATTTCGAACAATGTATACGGAAATGAGGACAAAACTCTACGCTAAATGAGTATACGTAAAAGATTGGCCATCAACAAATCCGTTCTAAGTTCAAAATGTCATAAAATATATTTTTAGAATATGCCCCAAACGCGAATATGTTAAAGAAGCTAACTACAATTAACTTAAGCGACGCGTGCAAGTTAATAGAAGGCAGAGGTTAAAATGAGGAAAAATTATACGCATTAAGACAAGATAGTAAACCCAGCGCTTGAAATAAAGAAACTCAGCATGCAAACACGTGGCTAGCAAATCGAATACAGCGTACCTACCAACGCTGCGCCGGTTCTGCCTACCTTATCAGCCGGACCGTCGTCCATTTCGAGTCCCCAGTAGCGTCGCTTATGGCTAACTAGGCCTGCCTGACACAGGCACTAGCGACCGCATGTTCTACAACAGCATGCGCTCAAGGTCGATGGAGTACACCCTACCGATACCTGTCGCTACTTCAATGCACGCACGAGCGCTTTCTTTTACACCGCGGCAACGGTCTTCGTGATCAAGTCGTGCCATGCACGGAAATCAACCGCCTTCAATTCCAAATATCTGAAAACAACAGTACAACGTGATAGGCTCACTTTGATCATGTCCTGATAGCGAAGCTTCGGTTTCCCCATATGCCGCTTTCCAACACTCAGCTGACCATATAACAGTTGCTTCAGTATCCGCGTCGAACCCATACACCCCACATGACCGAGCCAGCACAAGTGTTCCAGCAAAAGCATGCAGTCCACTGCATACATTCCACTTCGGCGCAACATTTCCGTGTCCGCAACTCTGTCGTACCAAGCGGTGCGCACAATCCGTCGCAAACACTGCTGATGGAACCGCTCGAGATATCTTACGTCTCGCCAGTACAACGCCCACGTTTCGCTGCCGTATAGAAGAACGGACAGCGCCAAGGATTCGTACATCATCAGCTTCGTGCCGACGGTAAGTTGGTGTTTGTTCCATACTCGGTACAATAGCTTCCCGAATGCTGCCGCTGCCTTCGAGACGCAGATACGAAGCTCACTGCTGGTCAGTCGACACTACACCCAAAGGTAACCGAAGCGGTAGGAAATTTCCAATACTTCAGCACCAATGCTGATTTCCGGCAATATTGCAGAATGTACCTCCGGTGAAAGAGACAGACAGTTTTGCTTGTGTTGATGGTGAGCCCGATTTTGGCTGCGGTCGAAGCCAGAGCACTAGTCATGTGCTGCAACTCATCCGCGCTGTGTGCAAACAACGCGCAGTCGTCAGCTAACAGCAACATACGGATAGATGTCTCACAGACTAGGGTTCTCGCACCGAAACGACGGATGTTCAGCAACCAACCATCAATATGGTGTTCCACACGAACACCGTAAGCAAAAGCCGCATCAAAAGTACAAGATACCATTACACGAAGATAAATACTAAACAGTGTAGGAGCTAAGACACAGCCTTGCTTCACATCACAGACAAGCGGAAAGTCATAGGTCTGTCCACTCAGCTGCAAACTCGCCCGCATACCACTGTGCAGACATTCAATTAAACGTACAAACTTATTCGGACAACCAAACTTACCCAAAACCACCCACAATGCCACGCGGTTCACCGCATCAAATCCCTTGGCGAAATCAACAAACAGCAAGTACAATGGCTGGTGTCGTTCAATACACCTATACTACAACTAATGAGCTGGAAACACGACATTTATAAAGCGCTGTGACCCGAACGGAATCCACATTGCTCTTCCACCACGTTCGCTTTCACAACACGACTGACAAGGCGTTTGAGCAGGAATCGGGTAATCGCCTGGCGCACACAACTCAGCAAGTTAATAAAACGATAAACCTTGGCATATTGCTTGCCTTCTAAGCCCACGTACAGTTGTAACACAACGGCATCCTTCAGCTCAGGAAGCACCTACTCCTCAATCCACACGCGTTGCACCAAGTGGTGCAGCGCAGTCATCAACGCGGGTCTGCCGTGTTTCAAGACTTAAGGCGGGATCCTGTCGGCACTCGCACACTTGCCGTTTCGCAGCTGAGCAAGTGCTCTCTGCGTCTCATTCAGTGTCGACGTATCCGCCAAACTCATCTTCACCTCGTGCTGCTTCAGGCCGTTCAAAGTAGGCTAGTCAATCTCTGAACGGCTGTTCAAAAGATAGTCAAAGTGATTTCGCCAGATCTGCATTAGGTCTGTAGTCTGTGTGCAGGTAGCGCCTGAGCTACCATCGATTAGCGCCCTTAGCGGCTCCAACCTCGGTCCATACACCATCTTCAATGAGTCAAAGAATTCCTTATGTTGGCGGCATTCGGCGTAGCATTCCATTTGCTTCACCTTCTCCGTCCACCATGCATATTTAAATCGACAAAGCTTTCGAGTCAGTCGCCGTCGAAATTTTCGAAACCGACTATTTTTCCCCAAGTCACTGGGGTCTGCTACATGTACAGCAAATGCTGCATTCTTCTCAGACACCAATCGTCGCATTGTTCTCA